GGACTTTTTTTTTAAACTATTACGACATTTTTTCTGGGAAATAAATATCCAAGTTATCTATTATGATGAATGACATACATAATATGCCACATAGTCATATCCATACTGTCACATTAACCAAAGCTTGTTGGGCCCTGCTGGTATGTGGTAACATATATAATGGCATAGTTGTTGCTGTTTCGTCCTATAGAGTAGGTACTGACTCATAGCAACCTTGTGCACACTGTGCACACTAGCACAAGACACTACTGGGGCCTCTGCCATCCTCACGTTTGTTCTTATGTTTGAGCCCTTCTGGTAGCCGCGGTGTCAATCCATTTCGTTAAAGGCCTTCCTCTTTTTCACTGCCCCTCTCTTTTACTGAGGATGCTGCCCTTCTGTCGAGACTGGTCTCTCCTGACACCATGTCCAAAGTATGTAGGATGAACTCTGGCCATCCTTGCCTCTGATTCAGAGCAACATTACAGGACAGAGTGGAAGCACTCTGGCCACACTCCTGTCTGTGGTACCTTCAATATTCTTCTTCAGCCCCAGGATCCAAATGCATCAATTCTTCTCCAGTCTTCTTGTTTCAATGTCCAACTTGCACATAGATATGAGGCAACTGAAAATATCCTGGCATGGGTCAGACATACCTCAGTCCTCAAAGTAACCTCCTTGCTTTTCAATGTTCTAAAGAGACATTTGTGTGTCTATGTGTGATTTAAAAAATATTAATTGGGATTTAATACATGTATCTTCTCATCCTGTGGTTCAGTCACATAAGTAGAATTGTGCAATTACTGCCACAGTCATTTTCCAGACATTCCATTTCTATACAGACTCCTTGGCATCATCTCTCGTTACTCCTCCCCCAGCCCCACCTCTTTTTTCCAAAACCCTGAGTCTACTTTCTGTCGCTGTGAGTTCATCCCTCCTGGATTTCATGTACTGAAAAATGGAAAAGCACAGAACACAGCTTCAATAGGGCTGAGGAGCTGAACTCCAAGGACATAACGTCTCTGAGCTACACCCTCATATGAACAACCAGAAACCAGACCAAACAAGACAAACCAAAAATACGTAAAACTTTGGAAACCTGAGCAGGTCCAACCTGCATCATAAGCAATAATCTACTGACAAAGTTTGAAGTTCAAGTTTGATTTATGCCTTTGGCCTTCTACCCATTTCTCCCAAGCACTCTGTCTAATGGCCCCTTTCCTCCCATCCATCGATTTTAGATAGAGTGAGTTCTCCGGAGGCTTTTCCTACATAGTTCCATATATGATTTTGGGCTCCCAGTGACATCATTGCCTTCTGCACATCATATTCTCACAATGTAGGCTCTGATGCTCATTCTTCCTTCTATTTTGGATTATGTGATTTACAATCCTTCAATGACTGCTGATGGTGTACTCCTTCCACGTGGACTTAGTTGACATCTCACTTAGATGTCTGCTTGTTTGGAGACAAGCCTTTAAGACCCCAGAGGCTATTTTATCTGATAGCTGGGCACCATCTAAATTCTTTGCCACATTTTGCCATAGCTTCCGTATCTTCTGTGCTCCCTTCCTGAGGATTAGTATGGAGCAGGGCTATGATATAAGAACTAATAGTTCTTAAATTGGAACTAGGATTTAGTGTAAGCCCCAATCTTTCCTTTTATTTTGTTGTTACTTGGGAGTTAATACATACGAGGAGGTAACTCCCTCCCCCCCAATAAAAAAGTCCACCTAGGTAGAGCTTTCATAGTATGCATTTTCCCATTAAAGGATCATCCAGAAACTCTCTCTGAGTTAGTGCATCCAGTGGTGTCACCTAGGAAGGTTCTCTCTGGCCACAGCAATTTTTTTTTCATAGAAGCAGTTTTACTAGATCTCTTTTTTGTGGTGGCTGGTTCAAGCGAACAGTGTGAGGCTATGAAATTTTGTTTCCTGCTTGGGAAAAATGCCACCAAAACTGTTGAGGTGCTGAACACAGTTTACAAGGACAGTGCTATGGTAAAAACTCAAGTGAATGAGCGATTTTCTCCTTTCAAAAAAGGTGAAATGTCGATTGATGACAAACCTCGTTCTGGACATCCATCAATTTCCCGAATGGATGAAAATGTTGACAATATTCATGCACTTGTGCCCGAAGACTGCTGAAGGACCATTTGCAGAAGCTGCCTGGACTATCTTGGAGCTCAATTTTGAGAAGGAGAAGGCTCGCTGCAAAATTTGTGCCTCAGATTCTGACTGACCAGAAGAGAGTGTCTAGTGGAAACATGCCCAGCTTTGAAAGAACAGCTCTGAAGCAACCCAGAAGATTTCCCCCAAGGTCATTACTGGTGATGAGACATGGTGCTATTCTTATGGCCCTGGAAGGAAACATTAATCAAGCCAGTGACACCATCGTCACCTCAACCCCCCCACCCACCAAAAGCTCATCAAGATCAAACGCCTGCTCATTTGATTTTTGATGTGAGGGGTGTAGTGCATTTGGAGTTCATTGCACAGTTAATTAAGCTTTCTATTTAGAGGTTCTGAAAAGATTGCATAACAGTGTGTGACAAAAAAGGCCTAATTTTTAGCAAATGGGGGACTAGTATTGCCACCAAGACAATGCACCTACTCACACAGCCATCTCAGTGCGCTGGTTTTTGGCAAAAAAACAGCCTGCCTCTCTAGCCCCACCCATATTACTCACCTGACCTTGCTTGTTGCGACTACTTTCTGTTTTCACAAATGAAGAGGGCCAAGAAAAGACAGCAGTTTGAGGACATGGAAGAAGTGGAGAAAAATGAGGAAGGTGCTGTCACCATCCAAACAGATGAGTTTTAAAAGTGTTTCCAAGAATGGAATCGCTGATTTGGCAAATGGATTAAGTGTAATGGAAAGTACTTTGAAGGTGATAAGGTTGTTTTGTAAATAAATTAAAATATATTGTCTTTTGGGGGGAATTCTGTTTTTTTGGGGGGGGGTCCTCCCTCGTATGTCATATCATTCCATAGCTCAGTCATGTCAAAAAGAATTGTATGATGACTTCCATATTCAGTCTCCAAACATACTTTTCCTTCCTGGACTGCGTTAGATCATCTCCCTTTAATCTCTCCCACCTCCTTGGTTCTTCTCACCCCAAAACCCTTATTCTATTCTATTTGATGTCCATATTAGTCTTGGGTTTCATATATCAAAAAAGAGGAAAACAAATAACACTTCAAGAGGGTTACCCCCAATGGCAGCACCTCTGAGATACACCCTAATATGAGCAACCAGAAACAAAGTAAAACAGAATGTTCATCACAGGATTGCTGGGATAATATGTATCTTAATACAGCATGCAGGGCATTGATGTGGCAAGACCTTTTTTGTTTGCAAACCAACAGTGCACCGCTCTTGGTACAGCTCTGGGTGCAACTGTCTTCTCCTTGCTCAGACACTATCTGTTTTCTAGATCAAATCCTCAGGTTCCAGTTCACCCAGGGGAGTTTCCATCATGGATGCAGCCTTTGGAGCATGATGTGTGCCCCAAAGATCCAGGATCCAGAGTATCAATGTTCCACAGCACCTGGCCTGGGTTCCTCAGATACCCCCAGATGCCCAAGTTCAATGTTGCCCACCCTCTGCCTACCGCCAAAGGCACTCCCCACCTAGTGTCCCCTAAAACATCCTCAGTCACTTCTCCCTCCCACCAACAGACCTGCACCTGTGTTCTTCCAAATGTGACCTTTCCCTCTCCCCTCTCCAGTGCTTCCCCTCCCAACAGTAAGCCTCATCCCTCTGACAGGGCCACCTCCCTCTCTGGGGGACCTCACTACAGATCCACATGACAGTCACTTAGCAGACAACATCCCCCCACCCCAAAGGCTTAGAAAAGGGTGTTCATTAAAAAACATGTGCACAGCTGTTCATTGATGTTGGAGACATATTTAAATACATTTCATTTGGAATAAACTCATGCATGTATGACTATCACCCCAATAGCAATACATTTTTACTTACATATATAAGTATATATTTATGTATATATATGAAATTATGGAGGAAAATTCATTATTTTTATATTTGTATTAGATGTTTGCCTGTCCTGTGTTATCGAATATCATGCCAATAATGCAAAGTCAATAATTTAAATGGAATTAACTTTTAGATTGTATGAGTTAGTATTCAGTTTTTTAATTTTACAAAGTGTACTACTTAATTTCAAGTTTTTGTTCTGTTCTCCATTTATTAAAATATAAGCTATTTTCTTACAGATGCATGCATGATTTTCTTAGTTTTCCTTTTGAAAATATTAGACAGCTTTGCAATCCATGCCAACAATATTTAGATTTCCAAGCACTTCATATGGCTGCTGACCTTGCAGTCAGTGTTTCAAACTTGCAAGCTGCCCCACAGAAGAAAGACAAGGCTGTTTTCTGCTGTATACATTCCCTATCTCGGAAATCATGTAGTGTTGCTATGAGTTTGGATCAATTATATGGCCATAGATTTGAAGTGGATTTTAGATGAAGACTTTTGGTGTAGTGGTTTAGTGTTGGGCTTTGATTCCCATGGTTGGCAGTTTGAAACCAACACCTCTGAGGGAGAAAGACTGGGCTTTCTACTCCAGTAAACATTAACAGTCTCAGGAAGTCAGGAGGGGTCATGATGAGTCAGCATTGAGAGCCCCTGATGGCGGTGGGGATTTTTTTCTCTTTTCTTTTTATCATGCAAGGATTTCTGGTAGCACAATGGTTACATGGTGGACTGCTACGTCACCGGTAAATGGTGTAAACACACCACTGTTCTCTTTGAGAAAACTGTGGCAGTTAGCTTGGTGAAAGTTTACAGCCTGGGGACAGTATAGATGAGCTCTACATTGTCCTAGTGGGTTGCTCTGAGATAGAATTAACTCTACAGCAATAGGTTTGGTGTCTTGCTTTTATTTTCTAAAGGTAGGTGTTAATCACTACTAAAATATACTTAAGAGAACACATATGTAGTAAAGATGAAAGTGGAATTTGGGGAATGAGTAATATCTTTTTCTTCATGTTAAAGGGAGAAGAAATGTTTTGGACATACAACATGACAACTCATGGCAAATGGGTCAAAGAAGATTTATTAATTCCCAACAACATGAAGACATTTAAGGTATAAAATATAAATAGAAAAAACTTTAAAAAGTCATAAGTTCACCAGCCTGTGTGATCACGCAGTGCCAAAGGGATCAGTTATCAGGCATCAAAGAACAAAAAATAAT